AAGGGGGTTGGCAAGGACAGACTCTTTAAGGGAGAGAAGTGTGTGGTTGTGTGGTATAAGCTTGGACAGAAGGAACTACAATGCAGACTCAACAGAAAAAGGGCTGATAGGTAGTTCTGGTAATGGTCCCCCTGATGAGAAGTCAATTGACTTTGTCGTAGCTGATGACTGTCTTGCCATGTGAGCAGTCCCCCTGCAAGATGTCAGTAAGGTAGCATGAGGTGAATGTCTCTGCCTTGCATATTTCCTCCACTGGAACACCCAGGGAGTAGTCCCAAGAAGTAGACACTGCTCTGATATCATGGCCCCTGATGAGGCATTCAGTTTGATTGTCTGAAGGGTCTGGCCACTCAGGGTTGGCAAATTTAACGGCCGAGTCTGCCCATCTGGCTACAGTGTCCCTGGTTGCTGCTCGGTGGGGCTTTATTGTTGTGATGAAAAGCGGTGACGTTGTCCCTCTCAGCTTTCTAGTCCTGGGGTGTCGTTCTATAAACATTCCCTTGAGGAGATGTTTAGGGGCACCATTATCTGATAGAGTAGAACCATCAGGGAAGCAGTCATGTATAGCTGGGATGACAGACCGGTACCTGTATGCCTGATTTGACCAGTACATGAAGAAATCAGCCATGGCAGTCACAGGAGCTTCGGCTGAAGTAAGACTCTGCTCTGCACACCATGAAGCAAAATGTTTTGGTCTGTTATTGTAGGTGCTATGTGTGGTGCTTATGGCCATCTCAGCAGCTTCCTCATCAAGGCCCGCTAATCAATACAACTGTTTGACATGGGCCAGCAGGTCAGGTGTAGGGATGCCAGCTGAGGGTAGAGTATGCCTGACTTCGGTTGATGGAAAAGGTCTGGTCTGGAGGGCAGGACGAGTGACGTCTGCATGAGCAGTCTGCTAAAGACTGGAACCCGGGCTGGCGTGACCAGAATTGGGGGGAAAGTATCCGGCAATGTTCCTGTTCGATTTTGGAAAGTGCTGCCGGGATTAGGGTTATTGGCGAGAATGCACAGGCCAGCATCCCTTCCCAGTTATTTTGGAGAGCATTTGTCGCCCAGGCCTGTGGGCGATGAAATCTTGTGAAGAAAACTGGCAGTTGAGTATTCTCCACTGAGGTGAAAAGGTCAATGTTCGGCTTCTCAACCTCGGTGAAAATCAGCTCTGCTACACTGCGGTGCAGGGTCCACTCTGTTGGTTATATTTTCCCTCGGAAGAGGGCATCTGCCATAGAGTTGTTGACTCCTAGGATGTGGGTCGCTTCCAGCTCAATCCCTTAGTCTTGTGCCCATAGGAAAATCTGTCTCGTCTGGAGGCATAGGTGAAGTGAATGAGTGCCTCGACGGTTTACATAACCCAATACTGTTGAGTTGTCCGAGCATATCAGGACATGTTTGCCCCTGATACTTAAGCAGAAATATTATAGTGTGTTGAATGCTGCTTGGAGTTCTAGCACATAGATATGGCTCCCTTGGAGTTGCGGTTCCCATGTTCCTCATGTCTTGTGTGGGGGCAGGGAGCCTCCCCATCTGAGGTGGGATGTGTTTGTTATCGTTACTTCAAGCTGTCCTCAAGGTGTCCTCTCGTCAGACACCACTGGAGGTGGGGGCGGATGAAGTCTGTTATAGGGACACGTTGCACAATTGGGTCCCACTTCGGCTGGAAGGATTGCTAGTAGATGGTGTTGTAGCCGTCTCATGTATAGTCGACAAAGGGGAACCAGGTCTACCATGCTAGCCATCAGACTGAGGCGGCATAACCAAGCTGGGCGGAAACCGACTGTCTGGAGGTGAAGAGGCTCACGAGTTCTAGTAGGCTGTTGATGTATTTGCTTGTCAGAGAGATTATACCTCGTGGGAGGTCAAGGACTGCCCTCAGGTATGTCGGGGGATGAGTAGGAGTAGGAATGGGTCTTGATTTCTTGTGGTTGATGAGGAACCCTGAGCCATTTGCAGGGTTGTAGGTCAGGTGAGTAGAAGCTGCAGTCTCCTCCCGGGTTCTGCCAATTATGAGCCAGTCATCTAGATACTGGAACAGCAGTGACGACCTTCACTACTCGGGTGAAGACCCTCAGTGATGCTGACAAGCAGAAGGGAAGAGCCGCGAATTCAAACATCTTTTCGTTGTACACGAAGAGAAGAAACTAGTAGACTTGTGGGTGGATCGGGATGTGAAGGGCAGCTTTCAGATCTATCGATGATGCCCAGGCTGGGATTGTTAGGGGCTGGGTTACCATTTGAAATGTTTCCATGCTGAATTTCTTACGGTGGATAAACTTATTCAGTGGTTTCAGGTGGATTATGGGTCTCCATTTGCCAGGTTCATTCTTTAGCATAAGGAAGCATGTTGAGATAAAGCCCTTGTTCCAACGTGTTGCACGGATGGGGCAGATGGCTTGTTTCTGAAAGAGAGCATCTATCTCAGACTCCAGCGCCTCGTTTGTCCTTCTCAAGAGGGATTGGCACCAGGCGAAGGAGCAGAATGGATGGAGGGGTGCTCGTAAATTCCAGAGAATATCCATGGGAAACTATTGCGAGCACCCATCTGTCCGAGGTGATGTCTCTCCTGAACCTCGCAAAAGATAACAGGCGGCCCCAGACAGGTTTGTAATTGGAGGTCGCAGATGAATCTGTTCTCCCTTTTGTGACAATTTTGAGGGTTCAGACGAGGAGGGGCAACCATGACTGGTGTGCTGAATAGGTGGACGAAAGGACTGAAAGGAGCCCGAGTCCCTGTGTCTCGTGCCATTTTCGGATGTTGGGCTCGGCAGTCATCAGCTCGGTACTGGTGTGGTGGCGGTGGTGGTGGGGGAGGAGTGATTTGCAAAAGCTAAGCTTATGGGTAGTGTCAATTCGCTTAGCATCGGCCTCCATCATTTTCCATGAACTTCCCGGTGAAGAGGTCCTTGCCGTAGAATGGAAGATCTCAGAGCTTTGACTTGAGGGATGTTCATGGCTTCGAGTGTACTTGATCTCCGAGTGGATGTAGACATTGCAGAGATCTGTACAAATCGTTCAAATATGCTGTTGTTTTCATGAAGGGAATGCAGACCGCCTCAGTAGACTTTATTGTCTTGGTAGTGCCACAAGGGGAGCTGAGTATTCCGATTGCACACCTAGCAGCTCAATCCCCTGTGCGTGGTTGTTGGCTAATGCCGGTTCTGACCAGAAAGGGGCTGAACAGAGCGGACCATAAGCACAGTAACCACAATTATTGGCTAAGGACCGTAACATGTCGATTTGTTTACCAACTCCTGTCAGTCTGGGGGAGGGCTGGGGACCACTAAACGCGTTAAGCCTTCAACTGTCCCGAGTCGCCCAGTTGACCTTATATTATATCGCTAGATGAAACAAGCTATGTAGAATCAACAACAGTAACCCATGAGCATGCACAAACAAAGAGAAAAATACATGTACCACACCAAAATGACAAATTGCATAGAGAGATAATATGTATATGTACAGGAACTACAGTTTATTGTTTATCCGTTACAGTCAGGCATGCAACTTGGACTTTGACAAATAACGAGGAAATTCAAGTCTTCCTAAGACTTTGCACAGAGTTTTGTAATTTTTAATGGCACGAGTATGACGTGAAAACTAAGGAAATCAGCTGACTAGAGAAAAAGTTGCGTGCATGTACAATGGATCAGGAAGGAGAAGCGAGAACTAAAACTCAAAAAAAAATAGACAATGGCAAAAGACACATCCGTTATCGATGGTGCTAAGAAAAAGAAGGATGAACATGGTGGCGGCGCCGCAATGCATTGTGGTACTAGAGGATGCACTATAGTTGATCAAGTTTTAGCGAACAAAATAAGGCCCAATTTGCATATTATAGAGACTGTTTGGGGTAGGATGAGAATAGAAGACAGACGTTTTTCCCATCTCTCTACTTACTTTTTAAAATTTGGTTGGTTTTGGGAACAACTATTTCCAAAGATTTTAATTAAGTTGGAAAATGCAGTTGAGGGGGGAAAAAAACAGCTCATAGAACAAAAAATGTTTTGATATATTTCCTCAAATTTTCAAATAAAATCACAGCTGTATAGGGAGTTTTATTATACATGTACATGTATTCGCTAGAGTCAGACTTGACTAATTTTAACGTAATAATAATTATTATCACAGCTCAGATGTAAATAAAAAAATTTGAGGAATGTAGGATCTCCATGCAAAAACTCTTTTGCTCCTTTTTGAATGTCAGCTTCTGATAGCTCTGATGAAATCTCAGATTTACGGACAAGACAACACCTGTGCCAATATCTGAATATTCCAAAATGTAATCGCTTATTGAATATTCAATTCAAAATTCATAAAAAAGGGAGAAATTCATTTTCATATTATGAAAAGCATGCAGTCTATAGGCTTATTTGAAGGGAATTCCATACGCTTAAAAGCAGCTGATAAACCCAACAACAAAATATAGATTCCATCCTATAACATGGATATATAGTATAAATTTTAAGTTATTAATGTGCAAGTCAGCATTGTTTGAAATGATATAATACAAACTTTGTTGAAATAAATTATAATGAAACCTTCATGACGATATTTCAACTTGAAATCAAATGAGTGGAGGTCGAAAGAGGAAGATGGCTACATTAGATGAAATTGAAAGTTTGGCATGTACATGCAGGTATTCTCTCTACAACCACAAATTTCGGATTGGGAGTCATTTTGATTCAAACAATGTTTTCTCATAATTAAAATAATTTCTATATTATATTGATCTTGCAAATTGTTGCTAAAATCAAACTATGCTCAACCAATGTTGACGCAATCAATGTAGTCACACACAAGAAAAGCTGCACTGATCTCAAGCAACAGTATACCAACAGTGTCATGAACCACACATAAGGAGAATGGGGTTTTTTGGGGGGGGGGGAAATGGAGGAGGTAATGTTTATAAAAAATATGACACTGATTGCACTGAATGGAATTTGTTGCATGATTCAGGAATGATCAGATTCAATTGATTTCATTTTCATATTTCATAATTCATTTTTGTAATGATATTCTCATTCATTTTTGGAACAGTGAACTTTTTCTTCTGAAAAGTTTTGTTTCACGATAATGTTACTGTTCATCAATTTTTTGTCTCTATTAAATAAAAGTATAAAAATAAACAATGCATTGGACGAACCCCCTGTGTTGATGTTTCATTGATTTTAATACTCCATTGTCAGTTGTTCCCTTGAATCCAGGTGGAGGTCAACGGGCTAACATTTTTTGGCTATGTTGAAGTGTGCTTCATGTTTGCAGGTCTAGAGGGACTGATTTCTGTTTTACAAACTCGTAATAGTTGCACCTTATTGTACTTTTTGTTGGAAAATTAAAACAATTCTCAACAGGACAAAAGGTATGTCTCATCTGCCTGTGTGCTTGAAGCTATCCTATACAATGAGCCAGTTTGGTATTTCAAAAAGCCAAGGTCTTTTAGGCACAAAGTGAGAGTGTGGGCCAGCGAATGGCTGCACTGATAGGACAAACCACTGCATGTGTAGCTGCTCCAGAATAGCCTCATACTGAGCATGCTATGTTGGAATACTGAACTGGCTCATTTGCTGGTGATAGTCATAAAGTGAGCAGCCATTGTAGTGATTATAATCTACAGTTCTGTGCATTGTGAAACTGCTTCTGTTCATGCCTTGTTTATCAAAAATCTGCAATCTGGTTGACCGAATATTTGAGTATGTGGAAGGTCGAATATTCGGATATTCAACAATTTCAATTGTTCAGCCCCAGACAAGACCATTTTCCTCACCTTATCCAGTATCTCCTTGGTATGTGCGGCTGAAAGACAGATTCTGATTCTTGCTTCAATGAGGTTTGTGGCTGGAAATCCCACAGAAACTGTGCTCAAGCCCCTCAGTCGGCTTATGCGGCTGAAAGCGCTACATAAAAAAAGATGGGCAGTTCTTAAATCAACTTACTGTCAAAGAATTCCTTTGCACCAAACAACCTTTTAAGGCATGTCTGCAAGTTTTAGGAAATAAAAAACTAAGACTATATTAATGGTTTAGCAGTGCTGACAAAGATAGTCTGAAAAACTATCACAGCTCATGAGGTAAAAAAATGAGGCCAAATGCCCAGCAAAGTGTGATGCAATACCCTAGAACTTAGGAAATGACAGATAATGAATTAGATTTAGTAGGCTATGTATGAAGAAAAACACCAGCAAGGAGTAAAGACCAACAACTGCTGAACCTACATGTACCTCAAATGAAGCTATTTTTCGTATGAGTTTTGGAGGGGTCAACTTGAGTTCTAGCATAACTGAACAGCATTTGCATGCTAAGAGACTGTGTTATATAGCTATACCTCATTTAGCAAAATGGGTACAGCAGAATCCCTTCAACTGACTGCAAATCTGACAAGAATCTTACCCAACACTTGTTGGCATGTATATCATAACAGGTATAACTGGTGACTGATCATGACCAATGACAATGAATTTCATCTCCCTGAGTCGATGGCGCATGTACTTGGTATTCCAAGCTAGTTGTTTGATGCGGTTTTGACCTGAACAGTTACATGACAAAGTTATGAAGAAATAAATGTTTTCATTATTACTGTTTACTTTCGGTAAGAAAGCCAATCGTCATCAAAAGAGCTAATTTAGCTTGCAAGCTTGAAGAAACCTCAATGGAAGCTCAATTCAGAGGTGGAAAGGAAAACCGCTGATAAATATTCCATTAAACAAAATCAGGCAAGAGCTTAACAATTGATCTACACGTACCTTAAGCTTGAGTGAGATTTGAACCTTTCTCACAGATATGAAGGTTATGGAAAGTAACACTGTGCTAACCTGACTCCCAAAAATGAGGTTGAAGTCATTTTTGTGTTATGTCAAAGAGAAAGTAGCTTTTCAGTGCTATTTTGCATACAACGCTCAACATACCGGTACAGCTACATCGTCACTTAGTTTACCACTAAAATGCATGCACTGTGACATCAAAATCAATACATGAAAATTGAAAACACAAGAACATGTACATGCACACCAACATGTACATGCACACCAACATTTAAAGAAAAATGTAGTTGAAACAAACAAATACTTTTCTCAGAGTTTGGACCATTTCGTGGTTTTGGGTTGTTGAAATTCAAAATATACATACATACATGTTGTAGTTCATACACGTACTGGTAGCACGGGTACCAATGAGTAGAGCAGTCTGATTGTCAATCCCTGCATTAAAACCCAACAAGGTCATGCAGGATTTCAATGGTCCCTAGGGGGTTAGGGTAACCCCCTAAGGACCATTGAAATCCTGCATGACCTTGTTGGGTTCAGCATGGTTAGGGTTAAGGTTTGCATGATGGGGTGGGGACCAAGTACTCTATGATATCACAGATGTGCTGCATTTGTACCATCTAGTCACACAATTGTTCTGGGACAATAAAAATAGTAAAAATTGTTTTCACATGATGGGAATAAACAACTAAATGAAGCCAGCCAAGCAACAGCATGTGAGTAGCGAGCTCATGAGCCAAGGTAGGCAGGTGGTCAATCAATAGGCAGTTGATCAACATGATTGACAGTGACAAACAAGAGCATAACCAGCACATTTCAAAGAGAGACAGAAACGGACCCACCTGTGTTTGTACCATCTTCTCCCATGATGGCTGTCATACTTGAGATAATCTGCTGCACAATAGGAGCAGGGGCTGAGGCACCATATGCTGAACTATGAGAATGCCTTCTGATGTGATCAATCAGTTCCTGTCATGTCAACAACAAAATCATCACCACTCAACTCTTACAACAAGTTTCAAGATGTATTTTGCGTTGGGGAGACGTTAATTTACAACGGGTTTTGCCCTTACCCAACGTATGTATTAATACACACTGTATGCTCAGTGCTTCGGAAGTTCTCGGACAAGCACTGAGCATACAGTGTTTATTAATACATACGTTGGGTAAGGGCAAAGCCTGTTATCAATTAACATCTTCCCAACGCAAAATACATCTTGAAATAGTTCGCAGTACCCGCTGCTACACCTGACTCAGACCAGCCAGCCGACCACGGCAAGCTCGGTGGTCGAGTGGTTAAGACGTCTGCATGAGTAAGCAGGAGGTTGTGGGTTCGAGTCCCACCCGAGTAAGCTTGTGAATTTTTCGGAAGCTCTCAGACAAGCAGCGAGCATACAGTGTTTATTAATACATACATTGGGTAAGGGCAAAACCCATTATAAATCTTATAACAAGATCTAGCATAAACCCTTTTCATAAATACTTCAGACAGTTTTTTTTTTCCCTATTAGTTGAAACACATCACGTGACCCTGTATTAACATTTGATAATGCTCTCTGCAAAAGTGATATGCCCGTTGGGTAAATCACGTGCTGGCACATGGATAGACAGTTTCATCGGGCCTGATTGGTCAGGAGTCTGTGTGCACGTGATGCGGCACCACGCGCCAAGTTCAAATGGGGTCTATCTGCATATTATTTTACTGTTATGGTGATTTCTTGAGCTAAAATCTTGAAGTTTTGTAGTTGTGTTGCATACACATGCTCAGCAACCAGTCTACAAGGCTGCCAGTAGATGCATACATGTACATGTGCCATGTACAATGTTTGCAACCTGTGCCCACGAATGATACAGACCAAGCCAGGAGATGGCCATTACTCCATCACGAGTTTGATTTCTCTCCACTTAATAAGTTAATGAATTATTTTCTGGCTGACATTGAATCAAATTTGCAATGTTTGGTCAAAGTGGAAAGCCATGAGGGATGTTCAGCAAACCAAAATGTTTGTGTTGGTTATAGCGATGTTCCACTGTGTTATGGTTATTGTAATGACAAAGTACATGTATTTTCAAGATGTATTTTTGCGTTGGGGAGATGTT